TGATAACCCTAACGTGTATTAGCTTTTCTTTGTCATATTACTACATTATTACGGCTTCCAAGCTTCCCATTACAAATGACGTTTTTTGCGTTCATTACATTCGCTTTAAATTATATCGTCTCAAGATTTTATCTGCTAAACATGCAGCATCCGGTGTATATTCCAGTCTAATTTATATTGTGGATAAAACAAAGGTGCCGTTATCGCTTAATACTAGACCAAAACAAGGCTTAAATAATCCAAATGTTTCCACCTACTTTAGCAATAAACTGTCAATAAGATTAAATTTATTACGAGTAAACAGATATCTCTGCATTTAATCGTAGCTAAGATAAATCTTTACATAGTATATTATTATTAGTTTTAAGTTGTTTTTATAATAATATTAAATTTCAGAAAAAAAATATTTTATTTTCTTTATTTTATTTTATTTTAATACTTTATTGTACACATTAGTTATAAAAATATGACAGAGGTAAACAAAAGTACAAAGGCAAGCTTAACTCTGATAGAGTTTTCTTCCAGCAAACCCATAGCAGCAGATACAGCAGTGTAGAATTTTTAAACAGCCAAAAATAAATTAATTACATTATATTTTATCGTACATATCTTACTTACATTATTATTAATTCGAAATAATTCTTTACTTAATTTTGGTCGTTGCAAAGAGTCATATCAAATTTTATAAATAAACAATTGAGATAAAAGAGATTTATTAAAACTTTTTTTTTGTGGAATTTTAAGATTATTTGATAAAATGCAAAACAAATATGTCCGCATAATTTGTGGGTGTGCCAATTAAGTTCAACTCACGAGTAAGATTTATAATGGTTTGTTGTTAGATTACTAAAACGGTAAACGTGTGGCGTATTCTTATATCTGATTGGTGGTATCTTAATTTGTGAAATTAAATAACTTAAGAGTTTTTTTTTTATTTTTATTTGGTACGGAATCCAAAAACAATCCGTTATACCCTATTTGCACGTGTTTGTAACTATGTTGCCTGTTTTTTTTTTTATATAAAGTATTGTATTAAGAACAATAAATCAGTTACGACTCAACTTACTCATAGTAATATCTAAAAATAAACAGACGTACATTTTCCATTCAAAATCATCCAATCCTGCCTTTTATATCTCCGATGTTTCTAGGTGCAGAACTTTAGTCCAAATTTATTGCGCAATATCTTGTTTGGTTCGATACTTTATTAGTCACAGCTGTGAGTAAGAGGCCTGTAAATATTTTCAGTGTACTAAGTGGTGCTTTGCTGATCACACGGCCAGGTTAGACGCATAATTTATATATCATTATATTAATATTGAATAAATTAACAATTAAATATTAATATTTTTTACAATTAGCATAACTATAAATTTATAAAAACAATTCAAATTAAGTATAAGCTCTTACTTTCTCTATTTAATATAAATCTAAAATATTGGCAAAGGAAAGGAACTAAACGTTTAAAGTTTTAGATTATTTATATGTATATATTTATATTGAACGCAAACATGTGTAGAATAATAGAAAACCCATAGCAAATTAAATTGTGTGTATATAACACCAGGACGGCGATAGTTACGGCACCTATCGAGCAAATGTGCGTAGAAAATTTGAGTGATGTTAATTGGAATTGAATGTGTTAAGTCATATGTATAAATATACTACTTATTGTATTTTAAATTTGTTAAAATCTTCAAATAGTAATAAAGTATAAAATAAATAGTAACAATAGTAATAAATTAGATAACAAAGTCGCTATCGATGTCTGTCTGTTTCTCCGCTTATTTCTTTTAAACAACACCACAGATTTGGATTCAGATTTCAAAGTCATCTAGATATTTTTTACGGAAACATTGTATGTACATCTTAATTTTTTGTATAAGCAAGTAAATTCAATGTCGACGTATGTCAATGGTATATTACATAATTGTTATAAGGATATACTTAGTTTTTATAGTGGGTATACGTGAAGTACTATTATGTACTTAACGTGGATAAAGGATATTATTTGAATACTACACAAAAATGCATTTAAATTAACTTATTTAGATATTCTAATACGAAACTAATACCGGGGTATGTTGTCTTCTCATTTTATTATAGTGAAACATAATATCATTTTAGAAATTGGTAAATTTACTAAATATATATCTTAACACAAATTATGTGTTTATATTTGTGCACAGAATAGAGAAAACGGCTATGTTGAGAATAGTTTAAAGTGTAATAAAAAGAAACATTCCTTTATTTTTAGGATTAAAGTTCAGTTAATTAGCAGCCATAGATTATAAAAACATTACCGGTAATTAAACTAATTAAATGTTGAAATTATACACAAATACTTATAATGTTCTATATTTTTAACAGAATTCGACCTTTTAAGATTTATATAAAAGGTATTTTTAAAATTAAGTTAGGATTAAACCAAGAATATTTGTTTGTGAAAAAATTCAATTGTTGTTTGTACAATAGTCATCCATATTAAGGAATCCACTAAAAACACAATAAAATTAACGCTTTTTATTCTTATTACCAATCGATAATATCAATATTCAGAATAATATCCCTCTATTAAACATTATGTCGCATACATCTAAATAAAACTATAAAATGTAAAATATTTTTTACATGAATCCTAAACTGTATATCCAAATTATTTTACAAAAGTCAACTATTATTAAAAATTCTTTTTTTAAGTTACAACATGTGTTTAAGTAAAAACAAAAAAAAAATTCGGTCTTTGTTCCGTAGAATCGAAAATCTTAGTAATTAAAATCCCGTGTCACGGTATTCGTTCACGTTAATCTCTGAAATTAATTAGGCTTTCCCGATATTAATTAAGTTTTGTTAATGTGTATTGTTTGTTCCAACTTGATAGATAGATTAGTATTTATACTGATAAATATGAAGTTGTAGGTGGCAGTAGGAAGCAAAATATTTGCTGAGTCAGCTAATATTTGTTTAAAACAAAACTGGTGTTCTTAAAGAGAATGTTTGAGAAAGTTCATTCTCAACGGTTATTATCAGTTGATCATTTTATTTACATATTTAGATTTTCAACTCGGATAATCTTATTTATTTTGACAAAAAATTGGTTTGTCTCACGAAATTTTATTATCTTCAATAAGTAAGTAATTATTTACTTTCTCTCTATGACCCATTTGTATATTAATTTAGTATATATGTAAATATACATTTCTCTATTTTGTACCTATATGATACTATATGGTATAGATTGTGTTTGTCAACAATCCTTACTAATATTATAAATGTAAACGTGAGTTTGTTTGTCACCCTATAGCGCCTTAACAACATAACCAATTACTATAAAATTTGGTACACACTTATATGGGATGGTGAAGGATATAGTATATTTTTATCCCGGCCAGTAAACATACGCTGATCACGCGGACAAAGCCACGGGCTAAATCCAGTATAACATAAATTTAAACGCTATCGAGCTATGCTTGTTAAAGAAATTAAATATTTATGATAAAACTTATAAGACAAAGGTTGAGATTTTTAAATTTATTATGATTGCAATTTAAAAATTTCGAAACTGGTTTTGGTGTTATTTATTACTATTTTTGATTAGAAGTATATTATGTAGTTAATACACTAGTAAAAATACCCGTAATTCCATGAGTCACGAATTAATAAATAAGATTATAAGATGTAGTATAACGTGTTCACATATTCCTTTTAATATAAGATTAAAACTGCCAATCAGGCGCTTGCGCATTTTATAGTCATGGCTATATAGATGTTCAGAAAAATATAAATTTGTTTTTTTTAATCGATCATACTGTTATCTCCATGGTACTGCTCATGTTTATAGGCGACAGTTACACTTTCCATCAGGTGAGCCGTCAGCTGGTTTACCATTCTAAGTTGTATAAAAAAAGTCTTCTTTATTAATGAAATAATTTTAAGACAAGTTCCTTTTGGCAATCGAGGTTGAATACAATGTGTTTTCATTTAGGGGGTTTTGGCAGTAGTTGCCACGTTTGGCTAGCAGATAGCAATTTTAGGTGAAGCTTTAAGAGGAACGCTACTGGCCATCCCTCAACCTTTAAGTTGCCTTAGTCGCTTCTTACGATACCATCGGAAAAGAAGTTACTTAGAAGACACTTATTTTGTCACGTATTCTAAAAATGTAAATTCAACCACCTGTAAAAGTCTTTCCAATCAAATTCAACATGGAGACATTTTAGAAAGAGTTTATACGTATACCTTTATAAAAGTCCGGCGACGTAGCTACGGCTCATCTAGTATTCTAATGACTGTAAGTCGTGATGATCAATTATTTTTGCTTCCCTCAAAAACAATTGACGATTGATTTAGAAAAAAAGTATTACGTATAACGAAAGGAGATTCTTATGAATCTACTAATGCTCTCGATGCACAGTTTTTTTTTTCTAATATGTTAATATACGTAACCAACTATTGTGTACGGATTCGGGATTTTCCGTCAACAATTACACTCAAGTGCTAATGTTTTTATTGACCGCGATCTAATGGATGAACATTAAATGTATCACGGATTCATATACAATCTCAATTATCTGACGATATTTTTTCATACTGAATCAAGTTTGGTGATTCATGGCTTTTGTTCAATCAACAATGAGGTCCGTTCAGTTGACTATTGTTGTCGTATTGACGTATTTTATTAATTGGCTTGTTATTTTTCATAAATTTATTATAGAAGGAAAATTTATACAAAGTCGTGTGCACAGGCACCACTGCCTCACTTGTGTTTCTATCGGCATGCTGTTATACTTCGGTTTGAAGAGTGAGATATGTCATTTTCACCTTTCAAACAATAAAAAATTATACTCATCAGATCCATTTTATACATTTGTATAAAACATTCATTAAGATAAATTTTCAAACAAGTCTTAGAATCATATTATGAATCACCAAACCCAAAATTTGAAACTTGTTATGCCCTAACAAGTATAAACGATTTTTAAGTATTGACTTTTCTTCTTCAGGTGCCCCAGAAGGAGTAGGAGCATATGCCTATCAAGACTCAGCAGGCAATAGGTATGGTGGTACTTATGGATTAAACGACGGCCAGTTTTTCGGTCAAAAAGGACAACACTTCCCGATACCGTTCGCCCAAAATAATTTTCAGAACAATTTTCTGGACTTAGACGATTTCTTCCCTGAGTACTTTAGGAACTTCGAGAACCTCTTGCAAGAGTAAGATCTACTAAAAGAGTACCTAAAGCTTCGTGCTTCTGGTGGAGGTATATCTTGGAGGGTAAAAGGTCTTATGTTATTAACAACATTACCTATATGCAATGATGACACCCTTATGTAATGTCGCCCCTTTTAAACTTCCGTAATCACTTACAAGATGCTGAGCGGATTAACAATTTAATTAAACTGTTATTTTTATGAAAATCACATGCACCCCAATTTTATTATTTTTTTTTTATTTATGTTTACGAAAGGCTAGACACATTGTAAAATGATTTATCTATAAATATAAAAGAGGTAGAATTGAAAGTAAACGATCCAATGCAGTTTTATAATATCGCGCCTTGATGGTAATCTATTACAGTCGAGGTCTATAAGTAATAATAAGTATAAATAAGGCTAGAACACTACATATAAACAAAACTAAAATTAAACTGAAAGAAAAATAGTAATATTGTTTATATTGTTTCATAGAATGATTGGTAGAAGATTTTTCTCGGACTCCGAGCCATTACCGCCCCTACCTCCACTGCCATTTATGCCACCGTTGCTACCTCTACAACCGTTTAGGTTTCTACCACCGCTGCCACCATTATTGCCACTACAACGATCTAACTTTTTGCCGTTCCCCCCTTTAAAACCATGGAATAATTTAGATTTATTCAGGTAAAATTCTAAAGACCGTAACCGTGTGTGAATGAGTTGTGTTAATACTAACCAAACAACTTCCTCTACTTCTCTACTATTAGTGCTTCGTATTTCTCTCTCTCTCTCTCTCTGTCTTTCTTACTTCCTCTTTAAACTTAGCTTTCATAAATGCTAAAAATATCAGTGTTGTATTCGTGTTTTTATCATTTTGTATATTTACAGGGCATTCCATTCAAATTTAGAAAACCAAAGAATAGCATTGAATGCAGCCAGTAAAGCTTTTGACTTAACGTCAAATCAAGCTGGTTACATTCCGAGTTTCCCGCACAGGTCTCCATTCAACAATTTCCCAGGATTTGGTGTGATTCCAAGCTTCCCGACATTTGGAATGTCAAATTTTCCGAACAGCGCCTTTGCGGGAGGAGCAGCAGGACCAGGATTTACTCACCAAATCGCTTCGATTAATCCATCCAACCCTGTGAGTTTTTCTTATTCTTATTTATAATAATTTCTATAACAGATGTAATAATAGACTGTGTTCGCATTATAATGATATTTAACCTATATAAAAATGCCTATATGATTGCAAATTACGAGTATAAAGTGAACCTTCAAAATAATTCTTGAAGTTCATGCGTTCGAGTATCCATAAACTATTGAAATGAATACTATATCTGTTTAAAAAATAATATTACTTATTTAGAATCATCAATAATTATCATTTAAGTGTAAACAACCTTTTTGAACTAATTGAATTGTAACATTTTCTGAATTAAATCCTAGAAATACATTATGTTTCTTTACACGATTTACATAGTAGTGTACAAAGAAAAAAAAACTACAAATTATACATATATGCAAATCAATTGGAATTTGTTCGGGTTTTTCAATTGCGAGTAGCAATATATTATATTTACATAGCTGGGTTTTTATGTGGAAATAAAAGAACGTGACTAAACTCAGGGCGTGTACGCATAATTGCAATGGGCCTTGTATACATACGTGTTTTACTCGTATTTTTGTCGATGCACGCATCACCTTACTTGATAACATTCTTTACATATAAATTGAATAATAATGTCTTACCATTATCTACAAGAAATTTAATAATGATATAAGTATGAAGGAAAGATTTCCATATTCATTTTTACATATTTAAAGAATATAGAGAAACTAGAATACTGTACATAGTAAAATGTGTATCCGAGATAAGTATATCTAACGAAAACTCAACATAGCACAACCTCTGATCATAAATAGAAATATTCATACATACAGTATTTTATAAAAATAAATAACATATGGTCATGAGGACATAACCTAAGTATCGATATAGTTGTTGAAATAAAAAAAAGTTCTGTCAAGAAAGACTTCTTGGTAAACTATCACTGTAATAAGATCAGACTTTCCTTATATAAACTTGTATAAATGAGTAAGGACACTGAAAAAAATTATATATTTATTGTATACCAAGGATCTATACCAGTTGTGCTTTCACATGGGATCATGCTAATTTCGACCAGGGAACTGGTTTGTCTTAAGACTACTGGCCCCTACCGGCTATCTACTAATAAAAATGGGTAATATTTATGTTTAGTATAGAATCCTCCTTGAATGTTTAGAATTTATGGGCTATATTTTTTATTGCATCCTCTGTTGACTTTGATTCGGTTTCGAGAGTGAATTATGGCAATAAGAGCATAATATTTCAATCCTTAAAAATGGCAACATTTAAGATGTACCAAAGGCGTTTAGTATATTTCATGACCATGAAATATACTAAACGCATTATTATTAACAAACAGTCATTACTTTTTATTGTGTAGGTCATTAGTTTGTTTCCTTTCTAAATTAATGCATAAAAGAATATTTTTATATATAGTCTAATCAAATCTTTATTCTAGGACATGCCAAACGTAGATGTTATGAACCGCTTCGCTGATGTTTCACAAACGCCTGGAGGCAATTACGTCGCCATGAGCTCCCGAGCTTATTCCGTATCATCCAACGTCAATGGCAAAGAATACAAGGACAGGGGAGCAGAAACCACCGTCAACAACAACGGCAAAATCACCACATACAGAGTTAAGAGTTAAACAGTTGCAGTGTCAAGTGCATAAGCTCCTAAAATATCTAAGCAACCGTTTCGTGATACAGATCTCAAAATTTATAACGGAGTTAACATGTTGTCACTGAATTAATTGTAAGTTGTAATTAATTTTAAGTGTTTAACATATATTATCAAACATGTTTCTAGTATTATTTCGCTGTTAGCGATTTTGTAAAATTTTGAACTAAATAAAGTTCGTACCGTCAATCGTGTTTTCATCTGTATTATTTTGGTGCATACATACTCATATATCTTCCAGTTTTTTTTTTTTTTTATAGCACTGAGGAGGCAAACAAATATACGGCCTAACTGATGGTAAGCAGTTACCATGACCTATGAATACCAATACCAGGGGCATGTGTACTCTGTGCGCGTGCCTACTCTGAAGAAATCTCTTTACCCCTTTTTTTAAAGAACCCCGTGCTGTATTCTCTTAGAAAAACCTCCACAAGCTCATCCCATAACCTGAATATTCGTGGGAGGATAGATTTCTGAAATCGCGCTGTACGCGACAATTTAGGCTGTCAAGTTTTGGCGTGAACTGCTTGTCGACGTTGTTCGACGATAGAAAGTGGTAGTTTAAAGATTCATGTCTATTTTTAATGAAATAGAAATAGACAAATTTGTTCATGAAAAATTATCAAATTTACAAATATAATGAAACTCAAATAATATTATTAATAAATAATAACAAAAACAATACAATATTATAAATATGAAAGTGTGTTTGTTTGTTATTTTATGAAACCGATTCAACCAATCCTTATGAAATTTTGTGTATGCGTACTACATGCAATGAAGAACTAGTTTTTATTCCAGAATTATATATTGCTTATTTATAAAAGTCACTGTTAATCACGAAATCATCTACACCCTTTCCTAAAAGGTAGATCGGTGAATCCTTTTAATCTGTAAATATTTATTAACGAAGAAGCGGTAGTAGATTCCAGGCAGATAAAGCCGCAGAAAACAGATAATATCTTAACAACCCATATGTCTGCTAATTACACGTATTTGAAGTATAGATTATTTTTACCTTGTTGGTCACCTATCTTATTATAGTTAAATTTAAAAAAAAATAAGTAGATTGGTTGGTTGTGTTTGTGTTTGAATGGTGGAATATAGCAGTGCAATTACGAGGTCATACACCCTTACTCCTACTAAATAGCAAAATATGATTTTTTTTTAATTCGTGAAAATAGAATGATAATCTCGCCTACTTTATCAGAATACACTGACGGTGCACCAATAAGAGATGATAGGTGAATATGAATGCAGCTCAGCTGGCTCATCTGTTTCAGCTTGTTTATTATTCCAAGTTGATGAAAAAAAATTTCGTGTTTTAAAAAAGATCTTTCATGGAATATTAATGTGAACTACACGTAGTTACGTATGAATTTCAATTCAAATCCATTCTGCCGTTTAAACGTATTTGAACAACAAACATCCAAACTTCTTTACAAATTTTCAACTTTCACATTTCGAGTTTCTCTCTCATACTACCACACCGGCCAGGCGGTTGTTATTTCAAGTAGGATTATTAATAATATGACTATTTTACTATAATTATAAAAATAATTACACGTAATAAGAACATTAACGGATGCGAATACAACGAATACAATTATGGAGTCTCATTATGGCTCTCAACATTTCAAGGTTGCACAGATCATATCACCGCCACGTTTTTGCTACCCAACATTACGTACACGGGATGAACAAAAACAATGGAGCGAGCTATTAGTTTAATTTCGCCAATTTACCGTCCAACTTTACCTTGTTCGTTGTTGTCTCTATTATATACCATGGTTTACTTCGTTGTTGGATACACCCTTTCATCTGTCCATTGCTCATTTCCATACATTTTCTGCAGTAGAATTCTCTCATGCCATCGATAGTAATCTTTCTATGAAAATTATTTGGACTCCCTATAGTGGGTCTATCGATTCTTCTAACAAAATTTGGTTGTCTTTCACCATGACCGGAGGAACCCCACCAGTTTATATTATTAAAATAATTAGAAGGTTTCCACTGCATCGGATTTGTAGCTATATTGGGTATGACATCATATTCGTCTCTTATGTTTCGGTTTATGAAAACAGAATCAGGATAAATTTGACCTTTCTGTCTACTATCTGGTGTTCGAATCTGTGTGGTCTCGATAGCTTTGAAGCCTGGAACAACGGGTACTTCACCGCTGTCTGTATCTTTGTTTGGTCTCGATGCGTGTCCAACGTTGTAAGTTAGTATGCCAGAATCTCCTGAAATTAAATACTACATCAAATTTATAATTGTGTATAGATTTAAAATTATATCAGTATTAAATGGACTGAACAGCTATTTACTATCCATTTTCGTCGTTCTCAGTATTAGGAGGATATAAGTCTACTATTACCAAACTTAAAATGTAATTTCTCTCCTTAGATGCTTGTAAAATCATCCTGAGAATAAAAAAGAGTGGTGATACGCTGTTTTTTTTTTTATTCTTTCTCCATCATCATATGGAAACTTGTTAAAAAGCCGTTATTTTTTTTTTAATTAGTGCTCATGCTATAGTAGTTCATGACTGACTTTAATTTCAAGTATCGGTTTGCATAAAGGGCAATGCCCACTTTATAGGATGGTGACATGACCGTAATGCTAGTGGCACTAATAAGAAAAAAAAACAACTAATAGTATTACTTGTTATACAAAATGCGTATTTATTCGAACGAATGGTACCGAACGGGTTTGAGCAGTATCTATATCTCCACCACATATCCGCATATTTAGCGCATTTTATTTTGGAACTTTATCCAAGTATTATATATTTAAGATTTAGTTCTAAAAGTAACTAAAGAATATTCTTTAAAAATAGAAAACAAAATGAATAAAAGGAGCTAAATTCACTAGCGATTTAATATTATTTTAATATTATTTTCCAAGTTCTTGTACATATAAGCATTAAGATCCTCCTACTAGTTATTTTAACAGCTTGTCGTGTAATTGTTGTTCGTTGAAATCTCGTCGACACTAAAACCTTTTAATGTAAATTCACTCCTGTCACGTTAATTTATAAAATTTTGTTTAGACATTATGGAATATGTCCAAGCAGACTACTCGAATATGGTTCATCATAGCGACCTTACGATGGTAGTCTTTGACTACCTCATCACAATGACAATAGTTTCACTACACATGATGAAAATGTTTTACTATATTATACTTGTTTGAATAAAAAGCATCATTATTGTTGTGTGCCTTTCCATTACTTGCATTATACATCTGCAAATGCAAACTATTATTGGATGATAAATTATGTAATTGTCATATGTGTTGTCAAAACTGTTTGTTGCCTTAAATAAATAAATAAATATTTTTATGAATACAAAAATTCTCAACAGTCGATACTGACCATCACTGCTACTGTGTAGTCCCCTGCGATTGTTGTTCTTGAGTTTTGTTGATACAACTATGGTGTGCTTCACTTCAACGTCTTCATTTTCCACTTTACTAGAATTACTGACAACTGTAGTAACAGAATCTTGTTCGTTTTCAAAATCCATTTTTGATGATACATCGCAACTTGTGTTGGAGATAGCTGTTAATCATAAATTAATAAAAAAATATACTATTATATAATGTAATAAAATGGTAATAATTTTTATATTACCACGTGCGGTAAAATTATCTATAGGCCTAATGGAAAGTGACTACCGTTGATTTTTTTTTATACCTCAAAGATGGCAAAAGCATACAGCCTTTATACATGATTAAGTATATTGCTAACAATAGGGATACTGATTCTAAATTTGATAAAAAAATTCACTGCCTCCCTTACTCTTTACCATTCAGACAGAATATATATCAAGTCAGGCAGAATATGTATGTTTTTTATACTAAGAAGATGACAAACAACCATACAACCCGTCTGATGGTAAGTGGTTATACCTAAGGACGCCTGCAACACTAAGGGTGTCACATGCACGTTGCCGACCCTAAAGAAATCTTAATATACACTTTTTGAAGAATCTCATACTGTGGTTATGTGTGGAAAACCTTGGCAGGGAGCTCATTATGTACTGGTATATTATATACAACCTTTGATAGTTTTGTACCAGGTATTTGAAAGTTAAATTTATAGTATAATATCAATGGAATTACGTATATATAATCGATGTTCAAAGTCAAGGCTACTACGTCCTTGACAATGAGTGTACAATCAAATACAAAAGTCTATACCTAAACATTTACGACCTTCTAATATAATACAATAAAGGCTAATTTTAGTGAATAGTGTTCAGCTATTTTTGACTGTAACCAACAGCGCCTTTTGTATATTATAAATGTATACATATTTTCTATTTGATCAAAGTAAAAAGAACTTTAATTCAACCTCTACGATATTTTCTTGCTTGCAAAATGTGCCAATACGAATAGAGATTAATGAGTTTATTATCACAGAGACTAATAAATTTATAAGTACTTATTAACCCCAAATATGTCCTTTTTATTATTATTACATCAGTCATTAGCTGCCCATCTCTAAACAAGTAAGTTCCCTTAGTCGCCTCTTACGACACATACGGGAAAGAAAGAAGTTGCCCATTCAATGCCGGTACCACACGGTCTACTATTATTATACTAATATAAAAATTGTGAAAACTATATTTATGTTTGTTTATCAGTCATTCTGAGCGTTGACTGGGTTTGATTTCAATTAGCCATAAAGAGCGATAATGACCTGAATAAAAAAAACGGGTTAAGCTGCGGGATGAAGCAACTGCTTAATAATATAACTAATATCTATACTGTTATACTGTCCTTTATGATTAATTGAGTAGACACAGGTTAGTGGAATTCCTCGCTAGATGGAGCAGTAACACCAAATGTAGTAAGAAGACGGAGACTTATTTTTTTTTTGGTTGAAAATGGTATGGTAACCCCGCCTGCGCTAACGGAATACGCTGGCGGAGCACCAGTGAATGGTGATAGATGAGAATGAAAACAGGCCAGTTAGCCCATCATGATGAATTCATCAGGAATTAACCATGATAGTTTCCAGGGGGAACTGCAAGGAGGTCGACCTGGTTGGGTATATTGCTAGCAATGGAATTCTCAGTCTCCATTACTAACAATCCCTTTTCCCCCGACGGAGACTTATTCGAGGTAGGTGGTTCAAGTCAGAAACATTTCTTGTGGTAGTCTATGAGAGGATCCATGATCAGCAGTAGACAATTAATGACTAAAATGATGATAATTGTTTCTTTTATATAATAACTAATATTTGACCGCGACTTCATTTGTGTAATAGGGGTTTATTGACTGGCCGAGATAAAAAAATAGTCTAATACCTTCCACATGCTAAATACGAGTATACCAAAACTTCGTAATATTTGGTTGAACTGACGCCACGAACAAACAAACAAACTTACTGTAACAGTTTTGATATTCATAAGGATCATAACATATAGACACTTGAAATCCGTAAGCACATTAAAATTATCCGAAATTATTAGGTAATTGTTATTCTATGCCATAACTATTATAAACTTATTATAGTATTATTACCAAGAAAAAAATAGATCCTTTTATTTTTTTATCTCACCTAATAATAACAACTAAGAACTGCAGATGAAGTAAGATATAGCATAATTGAAACAGGCAATTATGTGCCGAGTAATTAATTATAAGATGTGCTTAGCTTACATAATTAAATAAAACACCTGCAGCAAAAACATACCCGCCGTCATATTGCTTTGTGCATAAGTTGGTTATTATACGTAAGTAACTCAATAAAGTTTCAGTCGCCAAGCAGTTCTTTCAGTGTCTATGTTTTAGTTGGAAGGGTTTTTTAATGGGTACTAATGGAATGATTACCTCGCCTGTGTTTCGGTATACGATGGCGGGGCACGCCGAAACACGATAAATGACAGATGCAAATATAAGCATCTTAGTTATGCCATGTCATGCCATGCCATAACGACAAATTCAACTAGAATTAATCACGATGGTTTCCAGAGAGAACCACGTGGAGGCGGACCTGATAGGGTGTGCTAGTAATGGAGCTATTGGCCTTTATTATTAACAATTTGTTTCCTTTTTTTTTTAAATTAAAATCTCTCCTCCTCTCCATAGAAATGCTTCGAGAAATACAGGTCAACTTTTTCATACAAATTTTGTGACAAATAGTTATGAATAATTCCTTTATAACTTCTATATTTATTTTGTTTCATAATTTCTGCACCTTTACAATGCGTAAACACTCATTTTATTTATTAAATAATACGTCATGATACATTTTATGCGTAAGTATTATATATAAGCTGACGGTCCAATTGATAATAAATTATAAATAAGGCCAATCGTTGCCTATAGACATGACAGAATGCAGTGTAAAGTCCACGGGACTGCTCATGCGTTGACAATCCTGAGAACTACAGTGTTATACCTCTGAATGCTGTAATTTGCACCTAATCTCTTGCTGGGGAAAAAGCGAAAAATTAATGCTTATAAAAACTACCCTTACAGACATCTCTTGTTCGAGAGAAGAAGCGATTATAAGTAGTGGAGATTAGCAGCCCCATTACTAGCAATACTCTCTGTCCATTACTATTCATCACGATGGGCTGACGGACCAGCCTTTTCATCCTCACCTATGATCCTTTATTGATACAATGCCACCGTATACCGTTAGCCTAGGCGAAGTTACCATTCCATTATCATGCATTTAAAAATTCTCTTTTTCAATCCTCTTTAGTAATTCACCTTACGTATGTTCGCCTGTTCCGGAGACTCTTAACTCATCTCAGATGGGGCATGCTCTATCTGATCCTATTAACTGTTTTTTTATTACTCAACTGTAGTGTATAAATGACTACACAGTACGTGCAAGTATTCCAGTTTTGAAGATAAAACCAGATACAAATATACTGGTCTATAATAATATTATTAAGAGAAAAGTTTTGATCGTTTGTTTGTAATAGGTAAACTCGAAAATATGAGGGTATCATGGGCAACACAATATACTGGCGGAAAGGGATTGTTAGTAATGGGGTCTAATTGACCCATTGCTAGCAATACACCCTATCAGGTCGACCTCCACGCGGTTTCCCCTGGAAACCGTCGTGGTTAATTCTAATGGAATTCGTCACGACGGGCTAACTGACCTACTTTTTCATACTCACCTGTCATCCCTCACTGGTGCCCCGCCAGCATATACCGATAGCGCAGGCGGAGTTACCATTCCATTATCACTCATAAAAAAAAACAATATATATATATATATATATATATATATATATATATATATATATATATATATATATATATATATATATATATATATATATATATATATATATCAGGTGGGCTATCAGTTTATTTGCCATTCTAAGTAGCATAAAAAAAATAAACTAAGAAACTATTCGGATTTTAAAAGTTCTTTCACCTATAGAAAATTACATTATCAACAAGTTAAATAGGCTATAATAATATTTTCAAAAATTCTATCTACTTATGCGAAGCCAGGGTGGATCATTAGTATATAATAAATAGAAAGATCACTGAATACCATTAGCTATGTACCATCCTTAGCAAGTAAATAATTAATGCAAAACAAGTTATAAAATCAACAATGATTAGATGATTCATATGGTTTATTCCATTAGTGATTGATTGCACTAGATATTAATTGATGTTCCAATAATATATATCATACTAAGTAATTAAAAACTTCAAAATAAGCATTGATAAATTTAATGAATTCTTAAATGTAAATGGAGCAATTGAAATGCGTAAAGATGCAAATATAACGAAGAGCTTGTTTATATTAGGGATTAATAAACTTGCTTTATATTTAATATACTAATATTAGAATCTTTCCTCTATATACTAACGTTATAAAGAGGAGAGATTTGATTTTTTATATGTTTGTTTGTTTATAATGGATAAAACTACTTGATATTAAAAATTCTTTTATTTATACAAAGCTACATTATCGGCAAATAATATAGGGTATATGTTATTTTTTTTTAATAGAGATTTCTGCGAAAACTGCAATAATGTAACCCAAAATATAAAAAAAAATGTCTATTAATTATTAAAATGTCTGAACTGGCTTGATAATTTATTTTTTATTTATCTATTCGTGCGAAACCGGGGTGGATCGCTAGTAAATTATAATACTTCCCCGCTAAGAACGTAATATAAGGGAGGAGTATCGTTTCATCGGCGAGTTACATAAAATCTATTCCTTGTAGGTATAACAAATTATACCTATATTTTATAATTATACGTACATTATACGTAATTATACGTATATGTATATAATATCATAAAAACGAGATTAAAAAAAGAACCATGATCCGAGATTGAGTACGGTTTTTTTTTTTTTGCAAATACGACATTACTAATGTTTTAAATACGAAACTAATCGTATGTGTAACGATTATTTTTTTAATCTCGGTTTTTTAAGTTTTTTTTCTTGCAAATACGACATTCCTATTGCTTTAAATACAATACTAAACTAGCAATAAATATCACTTGAGACACCGAAATATAAAGTCAGTTTTTTAACTCCCCTAGCTTCCTTACTAAAAGTCGTGCAACAATTTATGATTCTGAATTTATTTGTACAGTGTCCTTGTTCTTAGAATATGACTCAATTGAAATTACTTAAAAATCCACGCCATTATAGATTCAATTTGAACACGACACTTTGTTTTTGATCTCGCTTATTTTATTTGGGTGCTTATGTTAATTAAATTGTTCATTTTAATAGAAGTAATGAATGTACAAACAAATAATTCACTCGATTAAGACAATCAAAAACTATCGATTATTAGATATAATAATAATAATAATATAGCTTTTATTCAGATCAACTTAGTATATTAAAAACAAACATAAAATTAAAAAAAAAAACAAAATAACTTATTCTAATAATTGTTTTTTGCTTATTTTTTGAAGATCTGTTTGCCATTTGGCAAAGGCCTCCTCCAACCGTTTCCACTCTTGCCTATCCTGAGCCATTATTAGATCGATTATTAGATGGAATGTTTAAATTTTTTATTAATTTTATTTAGTGAATGTTTCTGTGAAAATTTCAATAAAACTTGGTTACTTTTTTAATTAATAATAAGTAAAAAAGGAAACTTGTACTTGATAATAAAAATAATATTAGTCCTTACCTAGTAACGCGAAGCAGATCTCCAGCCACATATTTGTACTAAGACGTTACATGCAATAAAGATCGTGTCTCACGTCAAGTATGTTTTATACAAACATAAATTACACTAAATGATGATTGACGAATGCTCACAGGAAACCAGGAGCAATTACTCGCGATAATGGTATAAAAACGTAAACGTTTTAGACACCATTGTTTACGGAGTGTCGTAAGGATTACTCGAAATTGTGGATTTGTTCATACTAATCTGTGTAAAGGTGCCATCAACGGTCTTACTGTTTGTCTAATGATGATGAAGTAAAGTTCGTTACGACAGCTTGTTACGGTCTTTTTGTCTTATATATAAATAAATATGCTCGGCCTCGGTATAGAAAAGGCCACCCCTTCCTTTCTCGTGGTTATCTGCATTCCCGTAAGAGGAATGTGTTAAATAAATTAAAATAAGTTAACAAGGTTAAGAAGAAAATGGAATAGTAACTCCATTTTTAGTATCGTTATACACTGATAGAATAACAATAAATAACGACAGGTGAGGTGCAGTCATGGCAGTTGGCTCACCGTGACGAATTCATCACTAGTAGATCGAATTAATAGAATATATTGCTTGAAATTAAATTATTATACCTACGAAATAATACCAACGAAATGTACCAGCCACTGCCAGCTAAGACAACATTAAGATTAAATGATTTTCCTGATTGTTACACAAAAACAATTTTTAATATTTAACTTACACCTACATAATTGTTATTGAAACAATATGGATTCTGAGAAAAATTTGATTAACGAGCAAAAAGGTGCGGCTAGATCATCAATATGAGTAACTACTCATTCTGATGATGTTGTCATGTGGGATAATCTTGCATCTCACCGGTGGAGGCAAATACCTCAACTCTTGCCTGTAAGATGCACGTCGATGATTTAATAATATGCCTCTGGGGGGAAAGGGATTGTTAGTAATCGAGACTAAAAATCCCATCGCTAGCAATATGCCCAACCAGGTCGACCTCCTCGTGGTTCCCCCTGGAAACTCTCATGGTTAATTCCTGATGAATTCATCATGATAGGCTAACTGGCCTGTTTTCATTCTCATCGATCACCCTTCACTGGTGCTCCGCCAGCGTATCCCATTAGCGCAGGCGGGCTTACCATTCCATTTTCATCCACCAAAAAAATAATATGCCACTTTGACATAATATGCCAAACACGCATATATAAATATAAACAAACCAGTTATTAATTTAATGTGAATTCGTCAGAATTGAGCAAACTAACTTGATTTTATTCTAACCGTCTCAGCGGATCCTACACTGGTACCTTACCCTGTACGTTGTATAGATAGTGTACTCCACTTTCATCCATAAAAAATACAAATAAATCCTTTAGTATTTAAAAAGTTAATTGTATACTCTTTATCAGAAATCCAAATTCCTACAAATAATAATAAAAAACAACATACAGACCTACTTATCTAAGATGCACAATTTCAAGTGCAATTGACCGTCAGCGCCATCTATCATGTCACTATAAAAGATTTTTAAACCGGCGAGAGCGCCACCTATTAAATAATAGTAACACTTATAGGCTCAATTACAAACAAAGCAAGCTATTATTACATAACAATGAGTAGGTATACGTTTAGTTTTAGAATCTGTCACTAGAGGACAGGATTAACTATAATTGAAAATTAAAATTTAGCTGTATCTGCATACTTCTCACATCATCTACATTAATAATTTGAAAGATTTAGCTATTTTATTTTCATACTTTTTTATGTATGTATTTACATTAAAAATATATATGAAATTATTTAATTAAGTGAATAAATTGAATAAAAGATGAGGATTCTATTATATAGGTAGATTAAATCTAATTTATATAAAAAAATAACTAAATGTATGACATAAATACAAATACGTGCATGAAAATTAAATTACAAAATTATATAAAAACAGTAACGAAATAAACAACATCAAAATAGTTACGCCCAACGTGGGGCTCGAACCCACGACCCTGAGATTAAGAGTCTCATGCTCTACCGACTGAGCTAGCCGGGCTGGTGACGAGTTGTTTCAATTTTCTATATATATTTTTCTATTAATCCGAATATGTTTCAATTTTCTTTTTTTTTCAAATAATTATCATCATCTCTCTACCCCTATCCGAATTATTATTTGAAATGAACGTAATGTTTTTCTCTTCTATTCTTCTCTACTCGCAGTCATTTCCGCATTCACTCACATTCTGACAAATCTATCAATATGTCTAAATTTACATTATTGACATCAGGGAATCAAGATTTTCATAATTATCACAACAATTGCCGATGCTTGTGATACTGTATTGCAATAGTCTATAGAGTTCTGAGGCTTCTATTTTAAATCATTCCATATGTTTGACAGCACCGTCCTCGTTGGTACTCGTATAAACATATTTATTGATTCATTTTTCTACGCTAATTAATTTTAAATCCAATGATATTTCAAGCATATAAAGACTGAAGTGATAACTCAATGCTTGTAAGGTAAGGTAATCAGCGAAGTGACTTCCAAGCTTCCACTATTTAGCCACTCGTATACTCTAGGACGGCGAACTTCTAGAAATTAAACTCATCTATTGACGAGTGCAGTTTTTAGAATTTTGCCATTTAGTTTAGGATATACCTGTAAATACGGAATATCCGTATGGCACTATTAAACCTACTGGCCAGTGTTGTATATACTCTGATTTAGTTAACCTATATTACATACGTAGTAATTAATAACTTAATGACAAAACAATCAGTAACATGTAAACTATTGTTTTTAGTGCCAGAACTTATTTTTATTATGAAAATTTAATGCGCACACTTTCGATTGAATAATTGATCAATAGTTTTGTTTTGGCTTTTTCGTTCGATGAAATCCCACGTGACCCCACTCGTCGTACCTACCACATCGGGTTGCGTTCATGAACTCGCTCAAACAAACTCACGTCAGTTCTTTTGATTTTAACACTGAACTTGTAATTAAACTAAAACCCAAAGCGTAAAATTAAACCACAAACGTAAATGTTATCTTGGGAGACTTGTACAATAAGTATAATAATGTTTGGTTATTTATATTACACAAGTGTGCGTCAGAAATATAAATAAGAAAAACAGCGAAACAAATAAAATATATAAAAAAAAAATCATTTTTGTACAGATTCTCCCTCCGGTAAAAACAAAAAGTGATTAGAATTATGATACTAAATCGAATTTAGTAGAACTGAAGTATTTATTAACTTTGCGTTATGGAAAACGTGATAGAACTTTTAAACGAGTTGACCGCACTAAGGAAATGTGGGTAAAGCTATGACTTGAAGATAAGACGAAAACTCACAAAGACGGTTGTGCACTCAGATAGGGTGTGTTTACACTCGCATATTGCAAAGCGGCAAGGTGCGTCAAAGGCGAAACTAGAGTTACCATGTGTTGAGTCGTTCAGGAGATGTTTTTAAAAATACTTTGATTATTTAAATAAATTGTCAATATTTTATTAAATTTTAGTGCACAACATATAAATATATTTTTCCTGGTGTTTACCATTGAGGGGTTTTGCCAGTAGTTATCACAGTTGGTATACTGGTTCGCAGTCGTAGTAAGCTTTTAGTAATCTTTCCATCTCTCGATCATTAAGTACCTTTAGTCATCCGTGCAGGCAAACACAGGGCCAGGCGACCCTCCACTGGATGGAGCGATGGCGCCAAATGTATTGAAGGAATTCAGTGGATGCAGATGCTTCGGGACTATTCCTTATATCAACATATCGTCATAGTCATAGAATACTGACGGATCTGACGAATATTACATATAAAGATCCGTCAGTATTCTACGACTATGTCGATATAAGGGAAGCCTATGTTCAGCAGTGGACAGTCAACGCCTGATATGATGGTGAAAGTAGAAGGAGGATTTAATGTTTTTGAAATTTTGTTTAGTTGACATAACGCTTAGTTCAACCGCAAAAAAATTGTATAAAATCAACACGTATAAAAAAAAAAACAATTTAACTGCGAACCTCTTCCTATAGACAATTATTTAATTATAAAAGCAACTTTGCTTTTCCTATTAAAACGATACTTTAAAAAAATTATTTTAGCTGTGAACAAAACATGCTAATTTTGAAAAGTATTAATTTTTTTTACAATTAAATACTCAAATAATATAAGTATTTCTTATTGAGATGCAACAAATAGAATTATATTATTCTTATATATTCTTATCTTTATTTTAAACTTCTTTTTGACTTTCTGCCCCACTTTCGAGGCACTTCTGGTTACCCTACTCAAAGCCTGTTTCCTGAGGGATTGCTAGAAACGTTTCTAGGATTTTATGAGAATCGTGCAACTGAATGAGAACATATTTTCAATGTTTGACCTATTGAAGCCTGGATTTGAATGTTTGATCAAGGGTTTTGCAATGGTTATATTTGCTAACTTCATGTATGCTCAAGGCAATAAACGGAATGTTATTTTCATCAGATATTAAATATATACAAGTAAACCACTACATATTATACACAGCTGAAACCAAACTGAGTTAAGCTTGTACCACTATAAGTACTAGACGTTACATGAATATTTCTTTTGTAAATGTATTGTATGATGTATTTATATTAGCCATAAATTGTTCATTGCTGAACATAGGCCTTCCCCTCTCTTCTTCTAAAGGGGGTTTTGCCAGTAGTTGTCACGCTTGGCAGACGAGTTGGCAACCGCAGTCAGGCCTTTGGTGATGCATCAAAAGAGACGCTGCTGCCCATCGTTCAACCATTAAGGTCTAGGGGGAAAAGGGATTGTTAGTAATGAAGACTGAGAAACATACATACTCATGAATAGAAATGTTTGTACTGTACGGAAATCGAACCTACGACCAACGGAAGGTAAACTGATATGTTAAGCCGCTAGATTACCAAGGTCATAAATTACATTAGTCATTGAGATATAGATACCGTACCATTTAATAATCAAATAATGGCTCAGCCAATATTGTATTGTGGACAAGAGTTAACAAATATACTTAAGAGATCTAAGGTCGACACTACCTAAAATAACCTCCATAACGTAAACACATATTGTAATCTTACCATGTGTCTCCTATACCTAGTTATATGGGGGGA